GACATCGTATCCTGTATCGATTTCTATCAACTTCTTATAATGATCAAATGAAATAACATTTGCAAACTTTTGACCATCACACGCAGACTTGAACCATACATTTTGTAACATAAGTGTTGCAATCGTCAAGACCAGCCATGCTCGTCGGGAAAACATGCCTTTAAGCGTTATAGTATATTAACGTTCGAGCTGAACACGACGATTGTGTTTGTCTAAACTAAGATATAATGCATTGTTTAATACATTTTTTTTTTTTTGTAGAGAATATAATATTTGGTGTTACGTGTTGTTTTTCAGTTGGTTTAGTTCAGGTTTATACAAAATTGTTGTAAGCGATAAAAAAAAATATGTGTTTAGAGCATACACTGTTAGCATAAATGTAATACGTTTATCAATTGTATAATGATAATTTGAATTTTTAACATTTGATCGATGCGGAGCTTAGAAGATATTGTTTTTTTATGTTTCTTCTTCTTTATCTTCGCCTTACACTCTCAACTACACAAGGTCGGCCACCTTAATCCTACACCTGCATAGAGGCCGGGTTTCCCATCTACACATCACCATAGTGTCTTAATCTATACCGTCCACCTACATCATCATCTAAGCAAACGATTCGGAAATACTCGATGACTAAAGTATTTCTTTTTTTTTTTTTAGTGACTCTAGCTTTTGCCATTTCGACATTTTCCCATATACTATACTCGGAGAAACCTGACAATCTGTTCTCTCCTTCCGTCAATCTTAGAAACGAAATGCTCACACAACAAGTCTATATATTATATTCTATATGTATACTATTATCGGTCTATCGTCCCGGAGTACGTGTCCTAAACCTCGTTCTTGACGTGGAAACTTCCTAATGGTCCGAAAAGGATAATAAAGGTTAAACCATAATATATTATTATATATAAATTTCGTAACGTATCCAAAATCGTAGATTATAATAATAGACATATATGTTGTTACTGTTGAAGAAGTCGTGCTGCGTAAGATAGTATCCGAGTTAACAAGTATGCCTGTAAACTATTACTCGTTCAAAACGATATTGGTTGATAGACTTGATACACTATATTATTATATTATAAGCAGAGAACTAGAGTCAAGATAGATATATCCTCGAGTATACTTGTCAATATTATCAACGAAAAACGATTCGTTTTCCGAATTGGACACTTTATTCTATTCAATTAAATTCATTTTAATTAGCACACCGCTGGTTATTACCTAAAAGTCATATGAATGCAATAATTTCACTAAACAACAAGCTCCGGTTAACTTGTATATTTTTATATTTTAAAATCAATTTAACATTTAACACTATTCGTTATGCACCTGTGCTAATCATAAACACTGAAAAAATCATCTGAAAAATTAATAAACGACCGAATAACATCAAATCTTACACTACCGAATACTTTCGTCATAATGCTATACAACAGAAAAATACTTACTACACTCTCATGCAATCTCTTATCTATCATTTCGCTTATAATATAAGATTCATAATCAATTTTATAGTAACTGCTTATATTCTTTAATATCTTCAGTCGATCTTCATTGTATTTTGAGGAGACGCGGTCGGGGGAAGGTACTTGGTCCAGTTCAAATCCGTATTCCCGTGAACAAATATCTTCCATATATACGAATAGCAGTTCTTTATTTCCCACGTTTGCTTGCACATCGGTGAATGAACTTGCTGGCTTATCAATCAGCGTCGTAAGACATGTCAATCTTGAATCGTCTTTTAATTTAAATAACTCAATAATTAATTTAACATATTTATCTATCAACTTTTTTGAATCGCTTATCTGCTCGTTGCCAATTTGAGGCAAATACATATTAATAACCGTTATGTATTTCCAATAGCAGTTCAACATTATAAATGTTATTAAATTTGTGAACAACTTTTGTGCACTTGACACGTTTGCGATAACATCCATAGCCGAATCAAATCGTGCACTCTTTAATTGAAGTCTTGTTATTCGAGTTTGCATTTCTTCCCTTCCGTTCATCTCTGCGAATTCGCTAATCAAAAGCAACACTAAATGTGTTTCTTTCCAAATAACACCCAACTTCAGGTAATCAATAGAAAAATAATGCTCATAGTTATTGTTTTTAATTTTCAAAAGAGAGTCGATTTGGTTGTAAATTTTTTCAAGGGATTCTCCCACGCTTTTAATGTCGTTCAACATCGAATTAGGATTTGTTTGCTTCGAACGGTTGTAATACCGGTTTAGCGTACTGCAGTTTTGCCTTGTATGCATTATTGAAAGTCGTTGATAATAATTTTTGTAATAGTCTAAGATCTGTACCCGCTCGCCCCAAATTTTTTCAACGTCAATCGATTTGAAGTATGTCACAAACATATAAACGAGCCATATCGGACCCATAGCGTTTAACATACCGAAATGGTACAAAACGCTCAACGTTTCCATGCATTTTTCTTTCATAAAAATCATTTGGCGTTGATTATTTTTTATTAGCTGAACAAACTCTTCCTTACCATTTTTCGTATAATGGCCCCCTAGAAAATCCATAATATTAAACATATTGAACGTGTAACAACACAACAGTTGATTGTATAGTTTTTGTATCGCGTCTTTTGCTCTTTCCGGGTATGCAGTGGCTTCCTCTTTTGATAATTTTGGTTTTTCAACGACATCGTATCCTGTATCGATTTCTATCAACTTCTTATAATGATCAAATGAAATAACATTTGCAAACTTTTGACCATCACACGCAGACTTGAACCATACATTTTGTAACATAAGTGTTGCAATCGTCAAGACCAGCCATGCTCGTCGGGAAAACATGCCTTTAAGCGTTATAGTATATTAACGTTCGAGCTGAACACGACGATTGTGTTTGTCTAAACTAAGATATAATGCATTGTTTAATACATTTTTTTTTTTTTGTAGAGAATATAATATTTGGTGTTACGTGTTGTTTTTCAGTTGGTTTAGTTCAGGTTTATACAAAATTGTTGTAAGCGATAAAAAAAAATATGTGTTTAGAGCATACACTGTTAGCATAAATGTAATACGTTTATCAATTGTATAATGATAATTTGAATTTTTAACATTTGATCGATGCGGAGCTTAGAAGATATTGTTTTTTTATGTTTCTTCTTCTTTATCTTCGCCTTACACTCTCAACTACACAAGGTCGGCCACCTTAATCCTACACCTGCATAGAGGCCGGGTTTCCCATCTACACATCACCATAGTGTCTTAATCTATCAATCATCGTCCATAATTACTTATCTCTTCTCACACCTTCACTCTACTCTACGTTCTAAATCTATCACGGTTCACCTACATCATCTTCGGTCTACCTCTAACTCTAAAGCCTTGAAATGTGTCAATATTTTTATTTCTTCTCCATTGTCGAATGTCCAACGTTAATTGCCATAAATCATTGCTGTGCTCGCTATAGCTTCCCTGTAGTTATTTTCTTCCTGTTTACATATTTGGTCATTTAACTTATTTTACTTTAGTTACAAACTTCATGAGTTTATAGTTAAATAAACAGTTTATTTCTTTAGAAATAGACAATAGAGTGCTTATAAAATATTTTAGTTTTGTATTCCCCTTCGTGTTTATGCTTTAAGTATACCAGCCACATTAATCCGAACGATGCGAATTCCTGATACGGGTCCATATTGTTTATTAATTAATTTCTTGTCAAGTACTGTCAATAATTGTGGGGCTTAAACTTTCCCTCGATATTTCTGTGTTATATCAACCCTCGAGCAAACTTCCCTTAGTTATGTTATAGTACATTTATGATTATACTACGATTGGTTTGGCGCTTCCAATGGTGTGTCGACGTCCGAGCTTAATCCGAGAATCTGGCACGATTTCAGCTTTTTTTTAATTGGCGCACAACAAAAGCCCGTTGTAGTCACCAACAAACATCTTTGTCGTCGACTTCCGGATTCGCTTAGGCCACGTGCTAGGACAATATTGAAAACAGGTATAAAATTAGTGCGAGGAATCGCCTAGTTGTGCTAGTACCACCGTCCTTCTCTGAAAGTCCTGAATAGAATAAAAAAGTAAAATTTTGGCTTTTATAGTTTTTGTTTTTTTTTTTTTGGTTGATTTTCTTTTTCTTTCTATTGTTGTATAACGGTACTCGTGCGTACGATAAATTACTATTTTTATTGAACAAACTCCAAGATATTACAATGAGCCGAGAGTTAATATCATATATTATACGTGCCCTTGTGTACAGGGAACAATAAATATAAATCCGAGTGAACACAAGGCACTCGTGTGGCTAGGAAATTGACGGCTAATCGATAATCATATTTTAAATGCTTTGTATTTTTCTGTGTTGTGTGCTGTAATTTTTTTTCGTACTCTGTTTTATAAATTATTATAGACTTACGGCTAACCGTGAAGACCCTATTGTTATTTTTACAAAAAAAAACTTTTCCACATACCAAATCAAAAACACAAACCAAAGTATAATGTTTGCCAAAAATATATTATATTATTGCGGAGATGTTTATAGTTTGCAAGTTGAGCTAAACGACTAAAAAATGAGTTACAAAATAAATTTAACAAAAATGTGTATGGTGTTCAATGTAAACGAATGTCTTGGAGAGACATGTCCTCTCAGCTGTTGTGTGAACGAAACGCGCGAAAGAGAATCGCTGCATATAAAAAAAAAATGTTTGTCAAGGACCTTTAGGCCTATGTAAAGAAATTCAAGTCTGAAAAAAGGCGCAAATTGAATGATCGTTCGGTGTGTTTGTTCGGCCACTTCGAGTATTGGAAAGGAAGTTGACGGTTAAGATAACTAAAGCCGTACGGAGAATAAATTCTAAGCCAAAATTCGATTGAAAAAAAAAGCTCAAATATATTTAGGCAGGCGCAGGTCAAATGAATTTTTACGTTTTCGTACAGCATTTCTACTTAATACCATTCACGACTTACGCCACTTTTGCTCTAGACGGCTCATATAGCTATAGCTGTGATAATATTTGATTTCAGAACGAAAGAGACGGCAACAAGGAGTGTAGCATTCTAGGATCGCCGGTCGACATACTTAACAGTAGGATCATCGAACCAGAAGTCAAACCGACATACCGAATCATCGGGACGGACGTGACCAGCTACAAAACCGTGTACAACTATTCTTGTACACTGTACGGCTTATACGGTTGGAATTTTTTTTTTTTTAATGTCGAAGCTTATTTACAACAAAAAAATAAAAATTAAAAAATGTCTTTTCATAAAACACATTGTTGAAAATTCAAAATTCTCAATTTATTAAACATTCGAAATTTTATTCGCCATAGATTTTTTTTAACATCTTGAAAATGAATAGCCTCTATAGTTTTTTTTTTTTAATTTAATTATTAAGTTATAGACTTTGAATACTTAATGAAAGCTCTGAAACCCCATCAGAGTTATCACGATGCTTCGGTGCGAACCTATGAATAGTACTATTAGAAGACGTTAATTTTATTACATAAATCTTCTTCTCCGTTTACTTATCATCCACGTGGCTCTATTTATAATTACATCCATTCGCTCATTTTTTTGATATAAAATAACGAAACATTTTTTTTTTCACTTAGCCGAAGGAAAAGGCTCGAAGAAAGAAAAAGCCAAAGAAGATGCGGCGACCGAAATGATAAGACTCATACTCAACGAACAAACCGATAAAACACTGTCCAATCAGTTGAAACCTTTCAACGAACAAGAGTGAGTATCGACAGTTTTGTGAGGTCTTGACGAGTATGTAAATTGTGATGGTTTACACGGAATTTGTTTAGGGTAATCGAATTGCAAACCATTATCAAAGGCAAACAGAACTATTCGGAGTTTTTGGAAGAATCGTCCAAAGAAGAAATTCCATTGGAAAACGAAGTGAAAATAAAAGACATAAGACTAAAATAGCCCACGTCGTGATCAACGACCGCCGAAGCAAACGCTTACTTATTAAATTCGATTCATAACGTTATAACTTTTACTTACTATACACTCAAGCACAGACCACGTCTAAAGCTCTCTTGCACATTGTCCTACATTTGACGCTACTCCCTCCTCAAAATATATCTTAATTGCTCTACACGCCAATCTAAACGTCCTCATTTCAGTTACTTCCATATAATATCTCTTTTACTCAACGCCCAGCACTTTTTTACCATATTATTTCAATATATATTAATTGAATCTTGTCGTGCATGCAGAAATTTCAACATAGTATGCAAATCATCTCTGACCAATGGAAGACTAATGTTTCTTTTTTGTCGGATAAAAATAATAATATAAAACTATTCGACAGTTTTCTTTGTAGCACGCGAGCGGTAATGTGTATTTTTTTTAAATTTCTCAACACGTCTACAGACCGAAAGTGTTGTCGGTGTTTTCCTGTAATATATTTTTATTGCCGACTCGAAGTTTGACTAGCCTTCGGTCTGGTATGTTCAGGTTTTTTGTAACCTAGAGTTATACAACAAACAAACTGAATAGTAATGGGCGCCTACGCGTTTTTACTTACAAAAGTTATGTACAACATTTCTTTCTCACACTCTTACACTGCCACTAGCACGACATATTTGTATTTTGTTTTTTTATTACTTATACTTACTTCTTAAATGGGCTATGTAGCTCGATGGATTCAACGCATACCACGATAAAAATACTACAATATTATAAATAAATGTTTGTGAAAATGCGTTGTCAATTAATCAGCTCGAAATTTGGTTTCATAGAGAAACTCGTGTATGGTTTAGTGTATGTATTTTGTTTTACTATTTTTGTCTGACGCGCGGAACAAATGATTTGAAGGTTTTTTTTTTAAGACATCGCTTTTATTTAGTATAAGCACACGAGTAAAAACGATAAAAAAATGTAATCAAATGTATTGATTGCAGTACCTTTTTTGATTACTGCACCCGAACGACAGGACAAGATTTTGCTGATGATTGTACGTCGGCCGACCGAAAAGTCATGTAAATAAAGTTTTCAATTAAAAAACATCATCGCGCCCACTCGGTAGGCTTTTTTTTCACCGGGTGTAATAGAAATATGTATGTATACAGAGCGTATAAATAAATTAATTCTGCAAACATTCGCGTTTCCATCGGGATTCGTATCTCGTCCGAATTACAAAAAAAAAGTTAATTAAACCTTTTATACCCTTTTATATGATATAATATTATACGAGCGAGCGTAATACTTCCCACGCAACAGGGTAGGTACACAAAACTAACGTTGCAAACGTTATTCGACCTGCACAGTTATCTTGTCAAGTGGAATACGACATCGTAGGATATTCAAATAAAAAATTTTTTTTTTTAATTGTCCAACAATTATCGTACACCAGACACGACACTATTTTAATTATAAACACATCAGGATTAAACCGCGTACGAATAGCATGTATAAAATATATTATATGTCCCCATCAGAGCCATCGTCGCTTCACGGTAGGTTAGTAACGATCCACGGTAGCCGTCCGCATTTTTTATACAATATGTAATCGTAAAAAAACTTCAATATTATTATCACAATCAAACCGGCCATGGTCACGTTGAGCACGTCCAAAAAGCCCACCATGTCCGACGAAGATTTCCTACACAGCATATTGCGCGGCAAGTCGTGAATCTACACACAAACAAAGTGTCTTGAAAATTTCCTAAAATTGTTCAAGCCGATCGGCATAAATTAATGCTGGTAAACTTACCGGCGTCAGGTAGTACTCGTCGTCTTCTTGATACGAGCATTTGATGTCGGACAAGTCCTTGATGTACGCGTGGTATTTAATGAGCAAATCCTGTTTTTTAATTTCAAACACACGTTAAAAGTGGGTTCGGTAAAAAATGAATAGTGTCTCAAACAACACTCCAAAAGGAAGGTACCTGAAAGGAAGCAGCGAACAAGCAATCGCATCGCCAAGGGTTGTCTCCCAAGTAGAGTTGTGCGATGTTGCGATTTCGCTGGAATGCGTTATCCAGCGCGTAGGTCGGAATCTGCTCTAGAACAAACGCAAGTGTATAATATTACAAAAGATGTGAATGCTTAACGTTCCTTCTGAGCATTGCAGACCTTTGTTAAATTGTTGCCCTTCAGACTCAAGACTCTACATTGCGCCAACCAGTGGGATCCTTCCAGTATACTTATCGAGCTGATCTTGTTGTAGTCCAAGTGAATGTCCAATAGTTTGGTGTAATGCCGGTTGGTCAGCAACTCTTCCAACGTTGTTATCTAGAGTTTCGTTGAATTTATTTATCACAACATTTAAAAATCTTTATGTCGATTAATGATTGCCCAAAATCGATTAGCTACATATTATACAAATGCGAGTCGAGAGGATTTCAAACACATTAGATAGGTAGCTACCTCATGACCCACACAATGTAAACAAAATAATTTTTAGATCGTTCCCATGTCAAGCAGCCACATTGAATCGGCTAAAACTTGTTTTTACCTGATTTCCTTGCATTAACAGTGTGGTCGTATTGTGCGGAAGCCTTTTGGGTAACGTTTTCAAACCTCTATAGCTGCAATCCACTGTTATCAAAGGAAGCAAGTGATATGGCGCCGCCATACTGCGGACCACATTGTCTAGAGTACAGACACAATTTTCTGGCTGTGTCAGACATTCCTTTTCTAAGTCCTAATAATGAAAAATTAAGATTGGTTTTTCGTTCAAACTATCAAAATACTGTTATAAAATATGTGTATTGCTGTAATATTATGTAGACCTTAAACGGCCTAATAGTTAGAAATCTTATTAGGACATAATATTATAAAGAACAACTAAATTAAAAATGTATTAAAAAATTAAAACTATGAATTGATTATAACACAGACGTTTAACAGGCGTAAAATAGGAATCACGGGCTTTCCTATGTACTTGTATCCGCCGCAAGTCATGTTGTCTGCGTCCATTAGTCTGAAAGTCAACGGGTCTTTCGGGATTTGCAGCAACCATAACATGTCGGGCTTGCAGAACCAAGAATGTCCTGAAGAAAAAATAAACACAATATGGGTTCGTCAACAGCAATGGCCAAATGCAAATACTAAACGCTCGTGTTACAATATCAACGTTTTAAAAAATAACAAAATATAATATATCGTAGGTCTAAGAATTTGGAGTAGAACTAACAGGATCTAAACCGGAACTCCTGTTATATTTTTGTCTTACCTCCTCCAAAAAAAAATGTATCAAATGAGGATCCAACCCAATATTTGCCAGCACCGGCTGTATGTCGGTTATTATAGATTCTATATATATAAGTTTTTATGTCTATTGATTGTCTAGTTTAAAAATTCAAGTAGGTACAACTCACCGGCAAGCCAAATTTGTTTTAGTTTAGTCAAATATGCAACGGCCGTCAGAGGAATGTAATTGAGTTTATTGTAACTCAAATCCAGCACTTCCAACGAGGTCAAGTGTGTGAACGCAGTTGATTCGATTCGTTCTATGTTCAAATGAGACAAATTTAACGTCTACAAAAAACAAATCAATCACCGATATTGTTCAGATGAAATTAACTAGTACCTCTTAGCTCCTCAAAACTAATCAGTACAAAACCACAAAGCATTCGGTATCACTAAAAGTTTAACTCGGTAAAGTTTTTACTAAGTTAAATAAGGATGTTAGTCAAACGATCACGAAAGATCAATGTAACGAAATCGACTAGACTGCTCCCAATTGTAAGAGTTGCATATATTTTAAGTACCACCTTTAAGTTTTGCATGGTCTCCGGGAAGACACCGACGATGGTTTTTATCTGACTGTTGATCATGGTGAACTTTGCCAACTTGGTGTACAGACGCAAAGACCTCGACGGTTCGAAGTGATCCAACGGCCAATGGCAGAGCATCAGGGTCTGTGCTAAAAAATAACTGAACAACCAAAAAACAATGAAGTTAGTAAACAACAGCTGGGTTTTAAAAAAAGCCGGACCTAGTTAGGATTTTTTGGGCATAAGAAAATCCATACTTATGGTCAAATATCAAACACTTGCCGAGTTTGAGCGAAAATAAAGCCGAATTGTTTAGGTTAGTGTATTTTTTGCTAATCTCACCCCAACGCGTCTCACAGCAGTGACCGCCAGTGATTATATAAAGTCCTATCCTGTAACTATTCTCTAAACTTATTCAGATCTAAATCATTATTTTCACAATACAGGTTAGGTATAATATAGGAGGGGCATTTTTATTAATTTTGGCCCCGAACACGCGGCTGGTCTTAACCCGGGTTGCTATGTCTCACCCTCTAGATCCGGCACTGCCTCACGCATGATCTTACTCTTCCTCGTAGAAATCACCGTGAAATCCACCGCTACAGCCAAACCGCAATCCGTCCGGCTTGTTGATGCCGATGCACCTGTTTTGAGGGGTCGGAAGTGTGCAGAACTCGCTCAGTTTTATGCACTCCGCTGGTTCGTGGTCGATCAGTAGCGCCATCACACAACACCACGACCTGTGAACAGTGTTATTGAATATGACCGTGAACAAACCGGTGTTAACAGTACAGAGGACCACCCACTTGAAAATAATCCCTTGGAACCCGTCCATTTTCTGAGTTTTGCCGCGGAGACACTGAGCGCTAATAATTCAGGAGACACACCCGTAGGCCTCGGCCTCACACATGACAGAGATAAGGATGACACTTTTACGACAGAAGTGGAGTATAAAAAAAACGCAATGTGTTTTTTTGTTTAAACAAAGGAACGAGTAGTTTATTCATTTTTTTTTTATTATTATTATTGTTTGCGAGAAGAAAAAAAACGCCTAGATTATAAGTACAATAACAATAACACCTATTATACACGGTAGGTACCTAATGCAAGCAATGCATAAATATGTCTTAAAATTAAATTTTACAAAAGAGATACATGATTTTTTTCACAATATATAATAGTACTATTGAATGCTGCCGATTGTTACGCTAAACGAGAAAAAGTTAATGTTTGACCATATCCGTTTTATTATATTGCTTATTATATAAAAAAAAAAACAATATATTATGATTATAAATATTATTTTATAATAATATTGTATTAATTAACAACTATACATTAAGGGGGAAAAACTCTTAGAAGACTTTATTGAATACAAAATAAAAATTATCAACAACAAATAAAATGCACTAAAACAGTTACGTTTACAATATTGTTCTACAAATTGCTAGTAATCAATTTGAGTTGAAGTTTTTACACTTTGTTTCGATAAGTTACATTAATGTTTTGGTAAATATATTTGACAGTTTAATAGTGACACAACAACTCCTTTCGTAACGACAAATAATAGTACACATTATGTCAATTTTGTTCATTGTATTACATGGTTTTATTAATCAAACACACAAAAAAAAATAATAAACAATATTTGGAAATTTTTGTTCAATAGATAAAATATGGCTTTATTATTGTTTTATAGCGATGACGTACACATTATAAGTAGCAATGTTGAAAGTATTTAAACATTGATCGTCAAAGTTTTTTAAAATGACTCCAAATAGTAAAAAAAAAAAGGTTAAATGTGGTACAATATAGAAAAAGTTTTATTTTATTCAGATAATGTTTTATAAAGACAAAAGTATGACGGGACTCGAAAACAAAAGCAAAAGTAATACGGTGCTGCTAATGTTTGGATAGATATTGACGATATAATTAAATAGTTAAAGAGCTACAAAACTAACGCCGAATAAAGTAGCATAAAATACGGAAATACTTCTGGTGTGTAATTGGTAAAATAGAAAAGCGATACAATATAATTGATATTTTTTAAGCTTCCAAAATGTGAAAAAAAACCGCAAAATGTGAAGTTTATCGATATATTTTATTATTGTCGTTATATCGCTTCAAGACCAAGAAAACCAAGATGAATTATTTTGGCTAGATGGTGACGATGACGAGGGAGAAGAAAATAGATTAGTGAAAGCCGATGCGGATTTGGGCGTTTGCGGTTTGTCTTTATCGGTTTGACCTTCGTCGGCAGAGCAAGCGTTGACTTTGGTGTTGGTCTTTCTTTGCATTTCACATTCGTACGTACGTACGTCCGCGATGGTCATCGAAATCCAATCGTCAATCCACGCAAACGCTTGGCGATGTCCTAATAGCAATACTTCCCGGATAGTCTAAAAACAAATTATAAATACAGTAACTATCATCAATCCATAAAATAACCACCAGCCATGCTTTACATACTTTCTGTATATATTCCTCGGCTTTCGACTGAATGCCCCACACTTCGAAAGACGCTTCGACCACTTTATAAGAGCACATTATCGGCGTCGTGGTGCTCTTCCAGTTTTCCGTCAGTGGACCTCTCATGGTCTTTTTCGATTGGAAAAATTTCAAATCCTATTCGTCGAAAAAAAAACAATATAATATTACATTATACCATATTTATAACATTAAATTAAATTAAAATAATTTTAATTTCACGTTATAAGTACTTTTATTTATAAACCTTATCGTACAATTATTTTTTTTTGTACGTCTATAATTGATGTAATTTTTTTTAAACGAGCTTAGGTAATGGTTGTAACTCTTCAAGAAAAATGAGCATTTACCTCGTCTTCCTTGTAGTGTTTTGGGCTGACTTCATCGTAGGCAATATCCACAAAATCCACGGTTCTCTCGACAAGCTTTTCGCCAGTCAAGCCGAGACACTAAAACACATATTAGGTAGGTACACTAAATTAGTTAAATAAAATTAATTAAAATTTTTTTCAATAAACAATATAAAAGCTAACTTCCACACAATGTACGATTTGAGTTAAAACAGAAATTGTAGATGGACAAAATATTTAAAATACTTATGATCAAGACGCCATAATTACATTTTCTGTTATTCCTGTATTATCTTCAAATTTTGTATGGATAGAAACGCTCAACTTGGGAATAAACGAACACTAGAAACAAAAAAACATAACATTATTGTAATATAAATTAAAAAAATATAATATATGAAATTAAACAAAAGCAGAAATGTATGTTCTATGGAACCAAACCCGGGCATTTGTTGTTTAAATGACAAATAAAAAAATAATTGTTTTTTTGAAATATATTTTTATTTATCACATCAAAAAATTGTTTATTTTAAATCAACTATTATTAAATGTATCAATTAAATTTGGACTTACCGTGTACTCTATAGTTGACAGAGTCCGCAAAAACATGAAATCAAAACCAAACCAATTAAATTATATAACCAATTACATGATATATCATAAAATATTCATTATAGATTGTTTATAACAAATATTTAGATATAAACAAGTAGTTTATGATTGAGTTAAGTACAAAATGCATTACCTGTAACGGTAAATGGATAATAGTTCCAGGATTTTTCAATAATATAGAACACCCGAGGAATGATGGATTGTATCCAATACGGTAAACGACTGAAAACAATTAAGTTTTTTGCTTGATACAATAGTCTTGATTAAAATATTATATACACTTATTATACTTTGACAGATGTATTCTTTTCTCGGTGAACTGGCCTTTGCCGCGAACGGGATCCTCACAGGGAGCGTTCACTACGGTCTCTACGCCTTCTCCGCTCTCGGTTTGCTCATAGCTGTGTCTGGCTATCATGTACAGCTGGCCAACACGATACTGAAATTAAAAAAAAAAGCTTATCATCGGTTATTATTGCTTATCCACAAAGAGTTAATTCTACCAGAAGCTTACAATAATAATTATACAATAGTAGGCAAGCTAGCCAGCACTTACAGTATTGTTTATTGTCGCTATCTACTCTTTAACAATTTAAATGCATTCGAACCTTATGGACCAAGTACACAGATAGCCTAGCTGGTGATGTCCTACGAACAATGGATTACTTCAAAAAGTTTTTTTTCCACCGATCGACTAATAATACTGTTCTTCGGGTTTACCGATGCAAAATTTCTAACCATATCTATTTAAGAATAGAAATAAACACATTATCTTTTTGCCGTTTTAGATTAAAAAAACAAAATCAGTTTCTCGATTGTGTAGCAACTCATTTCTGACAACAGATTATTCTTCTTTTTTTTTTTAACGAGTTATCTAATTTGGTTTACAGCTATTTGTTTCAAACAGAATTATTTGAAAATATTTTCAATGAGAGCATGAAAACACAAGAAAGCAAAAAAACCTAATTGATAAAATAAAAATCTACAAAAATAAAAAAAAAGTAACCTTCAATAAATAAAACTAAAAATTAAGACTGGAGGATAAATAATATATAACAAGGTAAAATCTTGAAATAAATTTTTATTAACATATAATTGTTATATTTCAATAAATACTTACAAATAAATAAACCGAAAATAAGAAGAAAAAAATATAAGTGCTAATTTATAATATTAGATTTGTTTTAATTAATACATTGGCCTTACATTTCCCTCGATCAAATTGTTGTTGATTTTATATTTATATTTTTGTATACAAAATACAAAAAATATTAAACCCATCCAAAAAATTAAAGGCCATACACAATTTTCGCCACATATGTACATATAACCAAAATACTTATAAATATAAACAATGAATATATTATACCCACAATTAAATCTTTAATGTTGTTCAACACCAGAAATAAAAAATTGGGCTAGTTATGTTTAAAAAAAACATCAATGTATCAAATAAACCAAAAATAATTCATGTAAATAACATTTTTAGCATACTATGTTTTTACTTTTTTTTATTATACAAAATTGTATGTACATAATAAAATTACATCTACCCATATTTTTCTGTGAATAGAAAAAAAAATGTTGAAAAATATAGTATACAATATTGATAGGCTAAAGATAGGCTAAAATGATCTCAGGTTTGCACAGAAAAAAATAAAAAATTAACTAAAAATAAAACTAAATATTGTTAATTTACTGAAGTCATAAGAATAAAAATGTGTGTCTTATTCAGTCAATAACAGCTGTGGCGTCTTCGGCACTGTTTATGTTAGCAATATCTACATCCAAACTTTCTATACCCTCTTCCCTAATCAAATTTTCTAGCTCTTCCTTTGTGTAATCCGACGTTTCTTCGTATTCATTGGAACCCTTTGACGACGATTCAATGATACCAGCTTCCACTGCTAACTGAGTCAGTGCCGATTCCGTGCTAGCTGGCAAGTCTGTAGATACTTTGACAGAGGATGGTACTTTTGAGTTGAGTCCGATGGGCCTAGGAGTACTCGAGGTACTTACAAGATTCGTGTTCTTAAGTTGAACAACATTTCCGCCAGAGTTTGAAGTCAAAATGGCCATATTGTTTTGACCACTGACCATTTGAAGGGTAACTGGTTTACCGCCAATTGTCATGCCGGTCAAATTTGATTTGCCGAGAGTGACCATTTTACGGTTACCAGCCCCCGCCATAGTGATGGTAATCGGTTTGCTACCGGTCGGCGTATTGCCGCCGGATGAAACCATCACCATTTGCACCGGCGAATTAGACACACTAGTGCGGTTGGTTAGGTTGGCTTGAGAAGCCGAGAAGGTTTGTATGCCTCTGAGATTCGACCCAGTAGTTACAATAATAATTTGGGGAGACGCTGACCGATTTGCATTGCCTTTTTGAATAACAATAGTCGGTTTGTTGGCCACCGGCAGTCTTGTACCAACTGTTTTAAGCGGTACAGTCTTCATGGTTGCATTGGTTTTGATAGGACTATTTTGTTGATTTATCGGAGGATTGATAAACTTAAGAACTGAAGGTTGCATGTTCTTGTTTGGTGTAGTAGTTCCAATCATTTTACCTGGGATTCCTTGTATCAGATTACCTTGACTAGTCTTTACCAAGGTAACAAAATTTGATTGTGATCCTCCAGGTTTTTGAAAAATGACTTGTTTTCCAAAAACATTAGATCCCGCTTTAAGAACTGTTCCAGCAGAAGTCGTCAAAGTTGGGCCAGTAATTCGAACTGCCTGTTGTTGTGGAACAGAAGTGGTGTTAACAGGAGACATAACATTTTTAATAGACCTCTGTGTTTGAACAATTTTAAAGGGAGCACCCGCCGTTTTAATTACAGGTTTGGGTAGTTCAGCTTGTTTTGAAACTACAACGGCCGTAGTTTTGATCTTCTGAGTAGCCGAAGCAGCAGCGGCAAGAGTATGCATGGCAGCGTCCGATAATATGTCCATCGAGGGAGAGCTGACAAACGACGTTGGATTCTTTGGTGTAGCAGGACTCACCGCCTTGAAGTTTTGTTGTAATGACGGTGTTATGTTAGTGCTTTGAACAGTTTTTATTTTCATTGTTCCGGACGCTTGAGCAGTGACGGGTGTGAACGGTTGATCTTTGATTAATGTTGAAGTGTTGACTGTACTTTGAGGTAATATTTTAATCATTTGATTTGGTTTAATAGGGCTGCTGATGGGTTCGGAAACGGACACCACTGTACAATCATCATTATCGGTGTTCTTTTTAGCCAACTCGGGTGTCAAGAATGGTAGCAGTGAATAATCGATCATAGACGGTGGTGCAGGAGCTGTAGTGTCTGCTGGTTGGTCGTACTTTTGAATTTGTAAAATATAGGCGTCCGCAGTTGGGACACTATTCCATACAATTTCCAAAGCATTTGTAGAAGCCCTCACTAACTGACTCTTGGCACATTTTTGAGGTTTGTCTACTTCCAAATACCACAGATCTTTACAACAAACCTGATTATTCCAAGCTTTCCTGTATCCGTCTCGGCCCGACCACACGTACATACGGGTTTGTATATTTGCTGCACAATGACCAGCCCTAGCTCTCGGCATGTTGTCTTCGTTCATGTCCATGTTAAGTTCTTCCCATGTCATCGTCTCCAAATTCAAGCAGGCCAACTGATTTGTGCACTTCCATTCTTTTTCGTGTATCGGCAATTTCACTTCTTCAACAAAAGGAACCCATCCGCCAAAAACAAACATACGGTTTTTGATAGTTACAGCAGTATGCAGAGATCGCGGTAGTGGTTTTGGGCCCAACACAATTGGTCTATTCCACGACATGGTGTCTATGTCCAAAGTCCACAAATCTCCTAGTCGACAGCCACTCATACCACCGTATATGATTAGTTTACATTTCCCTCTCGTGTCTGTGTATGCAACTGCTGTGTGGGATTCTCTGGGAGGCGGGAAATCGCCAACCGTCTCTGGTATATCCCAGGCTAAAGCGTCTGGCGAAGATATATCTAACGTATATAGATCGTTTAGATAACGTGGGATGTTATTTTTAGGGTCATTGCTATCGTTAGCTAACCCGCCAAATAAATAAACTTTGTTGCCAATCAATGTAAAACTATGGCCCAGCCTGGGACAAGGCGACATATGGTATAACGGAGGTCTGGGCTGAAGTTTACTCCAATGCCACCGACACGCTTGTAACTCGTACAACTCATTAGAGTACTTTCCGTACTCGACCATACCTCCGAAAATCAATAGTCTAGTGTTGTCAACAACTAAACCGTATGCTGCACATCCGGGGGGAATATCGCCGGAAGTCTGAGGTATAAACCATTGGTTGTTTGCTGCATTGTAAACATGTAGTTCATCGACGATACCTTCATTACCTCCGCCAAACACGATCAAAAGATCTTTAATAGCGACGGCCCTGTGTCCATGACGTGGCCTCGGTTGTGGTCCAATTGGATCAACTATTTTTTTCCATTTCAATACTGGAGTCGAAGACACAGATTCGGTTTTTAGTATCTCCATTTTATCCACACGTTCAGTATTCAACAACATTATGTTCTCTTTATGTTCTGCAATAACAAAAATATCGCAAATATTAAAATCTAGTTAATAATAAATATAGAATAATTTTTGTTACATTAACAACTAGGAAAGTGATAAATAATTGAAATGGAAACTTTGAGGCACTATATTATTGTTTTTCTAAATGGTGATGATGAACTATGGTACTTAAATTGTAAGTGTTCTAAATCAACATTTTGAAAATTTGGTACTCACTTACCTTATTTTGAAGAAAAAAAAATTGTTTGAAATTCAAAAATATAATGCTTGACAAAAACACTTTAATTTATTTTATACTTTAAACATTTTAAAAAGTATTGAGGCCCAAAGTTTCCATACAACTTTTATAAAAAAAAAATATTAACACGGATGATAACAAAATAGAAAGAACAAATTAACACACAAAAATAACGAATAGGTATACAAAAGGTTTTTCATTTTCTCGTAGCTAGTAACTACTAGTTTAATTAATACAATAATCAATCTAGTAACTACAACAGTAAAAATATTTAAATATAATAACGGACTTCTCAGAATTAAATTGTAATTTGAAGGCGAAGAAAACATTAAGTTTGGGGTGAAAAAATTTCTTTTAGCAATAAGGAAAAGTAAATATCGCAAAAAATTGTTTAATATTTAAGGGCTATTCTGATATTATTAACATCTAGGTATTGTAATATTATCGTTTAAACAAAGACAAAAGACTACAATCTAAACTAATTATTCGCGTTACTGTACTGGACAGAATGACATTTTTTTAATTAAGAAATATGGTGCACCATGACGTAACTAACGAGCTAAGAAAAAAAATAGTTTATTAAAAATTATGTATGTTTTCTTAAAGATTTGTCAAAAGTATTTGCTTAATGCTGACAGTTAAAATTATTAATGAAATGAAAACAGTACATTTTATTTACTCTTCAATTTTATACCTAGATGTCTTTTTAATTTATTTAACTATCCAATTATTTTTCTAGCATTGACATCAAGCTATGGTAATATTAACTTAACAATGTTTTTTTTTCTTTTTTTTTCTAGACATAATAACTTTTTAACCACTGGACTGATTTATTTATAAATATAGTCTTTAAATTAGGAATTGTTTATCAAATATACTTAATAAAAACCAAAGGTTAAAAAAGATTAGAAAAACTTTTAAAAGATATAATCTCTTTTAAAATACGGCACATTAAAACATTCTAAAAATAGTCAAATTATTTCTAAATAATATATAATGATTAATTTTTAAATAAAATAGTAGTTTTGTATAGTTCTCATTGTATTTGATAAATAAAACAATTTATCAAAAATATTTTAATGGACCCAAAATTATGGAAAAGTACAAAAAAAAAAGATGGATAATTGTTTTGATAACATTTAGTTCTTAAGGAATTTGTTCAAGATAAGAATAGTTAAATATAAATGAAATAGATATTTGTCATTCAAGTTTTATTTTATTAAATAATAATAAATTTGCTGTACTTGAGAATATAATGTATTATATTGTAAATTATATACAAAAGAAAAAGCTATCAATTATATTTAATACCACAAATAGCAAAGAAGAACATAAAATAATATATTCCTTTAAAATCATTATTAAAGTTTAAAAAAATTGTTGGAGCAGCTTTTATGTTTTAAAAATAAGTATTCTCAATTCACATTTTTTTTAAACTAGCTACATAAAATATTAATAATCAGACCGTGTGAGTAAGTACTAAAGGATGGACTCTCTCTATTTCAATAATATGTAGTCAAATTCAAATTACTATTTACTTAAACCAATAATATTTTTATCTTATAAAGTTTAAATTAAATTTTTTTTAATAATACTAATTTCATTTTTATTTGTTTTTCTTTAGAATTCTGTTTCAGTTTGAGTGTAAAAATGTGTCATAAATTTAAAATAGTTTAAAATTATAAAAATTGAATTAATCAACATATGAGTATCTATGTAACATATGACATTCTTAAATGTGTCTATAATATCTTCTTGTTAGTTAATCCTTTCATTTAAAAATATAGAAACAACAAATAGGTCAGGAAATTATTTTCTGCATATTTTATTTTATAGCTATTGCTAAGCCGTTTATAATTACAAACGAGTTTAATGATAAATTAATAACATAAATTTACTTCATTTTTTTACTTCTCTTTTATATAATATAGGATATATATAGCCCACTATAAGACATAATATTTCATAAGACATTTACCAAACAGATGTAGTGTATTTCTATTATTTACAAGTGACTATTGGCAACAAACTGAAAATTTACAAATTGGGTTTGATATTGAATATTTTCAAGACTTTTAAATGACTAATTTTTGTGCATATCTGGATTTCAGTGGTCAAGTCCAAAACGGACCTTGATCTAAAGTATGCATAATAATATTATTGAACATGTAACGACAACCCTTGACGGTCGGCCAATAGCTTAGGTGGTCTCAATTACCTAAACCGTGCCAAATGAAACCAGTTTTTTTAATACACTCCATACTTAACGTCATTGCTTGGACTGTCCCCTACATCAAGTAGACAATTTAAAAAAATGAATAAACAAGAGCCGTAATGAATCGAACAAAAATTGTTTAACTTGGGATTTGTATACCTAGGTCATAATTGCCCCTTGGCAAGGGGGAATGGATTGGGAACCCCAAGCTGAAGGTACGGACGACAGTCGCACAAGGACCGCGACTAGATAGCGACAGACCGTATAGCATAGCGGAACGATGTCCGATGGAGTGACCATCAAAGGTCCATCCAAGGGAACCCATAATAGAAGGATAGGGCGGCAAGGCGGAAGAGCACAACGTATTATGTACTTTTCTTACAAACGGCAGACCACTAGGACAGTACGGTGCTTACCTCTTCGACAGTCAGTGGCATACAGATGCGGTACTCTTTGATCAGGACCATGACAATGTACGGCCGGCGGGACGGCTGCTGCTTACAAGGTGCGCAGAAATTCGCGCTAAACGGCGGCGGCAACTGTAGCAATGACAGATACGCGGCGGTGGTGGCGGCGGCTAAGGCGGTGGTAGCGGGCGGCGACAACGGCAACAGAAGAAATTAACCAAAACACAGAAATTGCCGCAGCTGAGCAACAAAAAAAAAAAGTAAATAATCTGGATCAGTGGAAACGTAAATACAAAACACGGCACAGGCCGACCATAGTATATTATAAAATTCTCGGTGCAACGAATCGCTTACGCCGCGTACTCCGGTGCAGGTGTGCGCCACACCGAGCGCAGTGACGCCGGCGGTGTCGGGGCCGTTCGGTCCATGGAAGAAACAATCACCCACGCCGTTGACCTCACGTCTCGCGCATCACCGAACCCGCGGTCCGAGCGACGGGCTATGCCCTACGGCCATATGCGGCTGTATGCCGACTTCGCGGCACGGCTTTTCCGGGTTTTCCAACCGTTTTCCCGGGTTCGGACCCGTTCTTACGCGTGGTCCTCCTGGAAGAGAAAACGCCGTTCGGTTGGCAACGCCGGCGTCCGGAGGTTGCGTGCGCAACGTGCACCGAGTCCGTGCTACTTGCACCGAACGCCCGCAGCGGCGCGCACGCCCCGACTTGGTGTTTGTTGTAAGCGGCCCGCGGCCGCCGCAAGGCCGACAACCCGACGGCGACAAAACGATAATCGCTGTAAACACTGCGACCCGTTGCCGCCACAGACGACCGCCGAAACATTCAACGATAATAATATTATGGCGGCTTCGCGCCTTCACCCGCTCCCCCTGCCCGTTGCACGAACGACCGACCGCCGACGACGTGCATTGTGCAAAAAAATGCAACGCGACCGTTAATTTTCAACCGTCGGCCGCCACCGCACTCGACGGCGCGGCGCTCGGCACCGATTGGAAATCTATGCATTTTTTTTTCATCATAGCGTTATTATTTTAGCCCAATGTCATCGGATTGACACTCCGTGTTGGCTACATCACAATATGTCTTACATACATAACACACTATATACACATTATTACTATACAGAATAACACATGACACGTTATTCTCAAATCCCAATAGCAGTGCGTCGCGACGATACCGTGATGCGACAGCCGTGACGGACGATTCCTATTTGCCACGACACAAAATAGCTCACAAATCAATACACTTCTTGAAAAAAGGAAATGACTTAACCGTCTATTAAAATTGAACGATCCGGCCATGGCCGTCACTATGTCTAATAATGTTAAAGAAAACGCCATGGCACCTACCTTAATTAATTAATTATAAAGTAGTGTGCTGTCAATTTTTCGATATGAACCTAAAAAACTTGTATACTCATCAAAAGTTAGGCTCAGAAATAACACAAGGTTAGTACTAGTTCGAGTTTAACAAAATTGTAAATAAAATCAAAATTCCGGGTACCGCGTTGAATATTATTTTTCAAATTACAACTCTTTGAAAGCATATTACCGTTGAGCTTTTTCTTTAAATAGGCGCATGTCTCAATTTTTAGTAATTGCACTTGGAAATGTTAGTAATTGGACACTAAGCAGGACATCTATATCAAAGAAAATATGTATTAGATTATTCAATATCCAGTCTAACTTTTTAAGTTCGTTCACCCTCAAATCGAGCAATAATTGTAATAGTACATTTATATTAATCATGGAGATTAACAAAAGCGTTGTGGAAAAATATACCATTAGTTTTTTAGTAAACAAATTGATATAATATTGATAGAGCGGTTACAAAATATTTATACAATAAAAGTAAAAGGACAATGGCTTTAAATGGTGAGCTATTCGGTCATTAAACCAATGTAAGAAATTAGTATTGGGTTTTACATAAATCAAACATGAATAAGTCAAAACGAATTACTATAACATAATGTATTATATTTATGTATAATGTTTTCGTCTAAAAACTATATCAACACACATACTCTATATTTTTAAAATAATTGTATGACTAAAGATTTAATAATTTTACAATGCAAAACAATTAAAATTTGTCGGTCATTCCACGGCAAATGATTTTGGTTTTATACAAAAACACTACGTTTAGTGTACGAAATATTATTTACATTAAGTTTTAAAATATAAATTAATGAAAAAAAAACCACAAAATATGCATATTGCATTTTATAGTGCAGTGTAGGGTGAGGCGTTGAACAAATACTGCAACGTCAACCTTCTGTATAATATTATTTTGTTGTGATTAGTCTACTATATTTGTTTAGCTGATTTGACAAACGAAACAGTAAACTTAAAAACAATAATATTCATTCACGCGTCCATCACATCATGGTTAGTTATTATAATACAGTGCTCCCAATACCATACTTATTCATACAGAACCGTTCTATTGATCTAACCAATTCGAATGGCCCCAGTCGTAGGATGCAACTACACTTGTGACTTGGCCTCGTCACACTTAGGTAGGATGCAATAGCATATAGGTACTTGATAAACTGATATGGTCACGATTCTCTAAAAGTACTTTAATTGGAATGTATTAAAGTTATACTATATGTCCCATACACCTGTACCCTGAAGCCACTTACAAATTATAAACACATCAACAGTCGATACTAAAAAATACAGGATGTCAACCGCGTTTAAGTATGTGCAAGTATATTAAAAGTACATTCTAAATTATAATATAGAACAGTAAACATAATTTTTAACACTTTTGGTTATAAATAAAGCATACACGAATTAGGTTCGAGGAAACGTTAATGCAAACAGATAAATCGAGCTTCGTTTATTGGCCTTGAAGTTGTAGGAATATGACCAAATATGTCGTAACGATTCCCGCGACCTGGAAAAAGATGAAATTAAGTGATTCAATACTTAAGTCATAGCTTCTGTCGACTGATATTTTCTAAAAAAAAAAATACTTTCAAATACAAGGTTATTATTTGGGAGGTTCTTAATTTATAATTTTTTTCTTATTTGTGAATTGTGTCAGAAGAATATATTTGCAGAAGCATATATTTGTACAAATGTATACACATATATTTATATGTGTATACATGTATAAAACTAAAACGATATTATAAAATAGAGTGAAGTTGTGAAGCTTAATGAGGTTGTACTAATCCTTTTTGACAACCTAAAGATAATTTAAAGAAAACATTTTGGTATAAATAGTAAATGAAAAGACAGCTCAAATTTTTGTTTTAATCGGTTAAACCGTTATTTTTAATATTACAAAATAAAAAAAACGGTTTTTTACCATTTTTTTTGAGAATTTTCATTTCTAAAAACTTAAATTCTGTTCCGAACAAAACGTTAATATTAAAACATTTTTTAGGTTTTTTTTTTGTAACTTTTAAAGCCCTTTTGGCCTCTGGTAATATAAAATATTATTTTCTTTGTCCCAAATCAAAGCTAAAATATGGCTTTTTATGGCCTCACCGGTTGAAATGTGTTTTATTTCAACAAAACGCTGTAAACTGAAATGACCAAAAATATTTACCCCGTAGATTTTATCACTTTCAAACTGATCACTATATACCCAAGCCATAGAATCCAGACTAAAACTATTAGAATAAACGATTAATCGTGTAAAGTATCATACTCACTGTAACCACCAACGGCCTGTCAACGACGAACAGACTGTAAATGCTAAATTCCGGTTTATTGACCTCCATTTGTTGCACGTATGTTTCTATCTATATGTATAAAATAAAGGTAGGCACTATTACATAATGTAATAGGCTCTCTTTTTTTATAAGTGTGTGTTTTTTAAAAATGTATAATGCTTAACGTATTACAATATAAAACGTTGAACATAAAAAATCGATGTCGTGTGCTAATGTAAATATGTACATGTAATGTATGCAGTTAAAGGTACTGTGTATTGTAATATTAAAATTGTTACCTGTAAGTAGGTATGGTATAAATAATTGCATGTTCGTTAAAAAATTAAAAGGTACTACAAGACCCACAAAAATATCATTAACAATAGTCAATACTACTAATTACTATTTATATATATAATATATTTATATTCACTATGTATTATTTTAATACTGACTATTGTGGGTAAATTGTTGGTCGAGGTTTGACGAAAATTATTTTTTAATTGGTTTGAAAATAATTCGTGTGTGAATAATATTATTAAGTTTAAATAAATTATATAAATATGTTTGTGTTGTTAGACTTGTTACTACAACTAGTCTAACACATGGGAAATATGATTAAAACTGTGTATTTTTATATTCGATTCCTTGTCAATAATATTATGAACACCAACACAAATATTGACGATATTACAAATATTTTATTATTTGTTTTCCAATGAAATATTATTTAAACATTAAAAAAATTATATTATCACTGTGAGGATGTGTATTATATATTATTAACATCAACATAATATGTAACCAGTCAGAGATGTTTCATATAAAAACCCATAAATGTGTATTATAAAAATAAAATGTAACTAGCATGATAACATGATGTATAACCAGCCTTACGCTATACTCACGCTTGAATACCCCTCACGATACAGTTACCACAATATGTATACTTAACCTATATATTGTGGTCTTTATGGTCTATAGTCAAATAAAACCAAGCTATACATTATCGAGTATAGTATAGCAGCTGGGTTTTAGATAGGTATTATATTATAACAACACACCATACAAATGATTCTAACTATGATAGTTGACGTTTGATTACATGGAAATTATAACACATCCCAAAACAATATGTTTAATTCAGGCCACTCACACACAGCACTTTATATATTTAAATAATATTATTAAAATATACGTATTTTCCCCCACCAATTGTAGTAAAGGGGAATCCTAATCTTCCTGGGGAATAAAAAAATTGGAGATAGCTTGTTATTGTACTATAACACCTTCAGTTGTCATACAATTGAATAGTTGTATGGATATTATTCGATTGTCTACTAGATCAATATTGAGTAAGTTATAATTCTGACCAAAATACCTAAGCTTTATTGAATGAATCAAAATCCAGTTACAAACTATCTATTCAGAGCAAATAACAAACGTATCGCCATTTAAGATAGGCTAACCTATAATTAGATAGACATACCTACCTATTCCAGACCCAAGATTAAATTATCTGCGATACTCTTTGGCCTGCATCTTAAGAGTATATATTTAATGAACATTAATAGACATTTATTGTGTGTTTACCTACAATAGATATTACAATTTATAATAAAGTTCTACAGAAATAAAATGTATCAATTATATT